TTTTCTGAAGATGAGCATCCGCTAGAGAGTCTCTCTGTACACGGGGTAAGTTTGTGTACATCTAAGCTTCTCCAGAGCCCACAATTGTGGGAGCCTCATGTACTGGGTTGCCTTTTAGCATCTGCTATAGAGATATGAATTACTGCTGAGCAACCAAGCATCCTAATGCATTTTTGAGATGAATGTTGAACAATCTGGTTGAAAAATGTATTATGGCCCAAGATGTCATGCGAATTTCTAGAATGAAAGCAATTTCTCTATCATGAAGAGCAACTCCTCCCCCCTGAGACTGTGAGCTAGTTTGTCAGCTATGATTGCCAAGCAATGTGTTGGCCCTCTGAAATGTAAGCAAGAAAAAGTGATGGTGCTGATGCTTTTATATTTTCAGCAATCTTCACTCTGTAAACTTTCTCAAATAGCACAAGTGTAAGATGATGGTCTAATCATGTGATTTGGATGGCATATTTTACTATGTGGATATCCGCAGGGTCATATAATTTGGGCTGTAATGGTATCTGCAAATCTGAAAACTAGACATAAACAACTTTTCATCGGGATTTGATTAAGATTCATATCGATTTCAGATCATGGATTCAGATTAAGTTGGATTTTGACTGGAAACCCTGAACACACAATAGTTCATATAAGAAGACAACTAGTTTTATGTGTGAGTACAACTCTTTTCTTTGGGGATCGCAACATGCTAAAGCGGAAGGTTCACTTATGTTTCTTTATTATACACAATTCAGGAAAAATTATTGTGTGGATAGCTTCTTTGATAATAAAATAAAGATTGGAAAAAATAGTCTAAACAAGAAAGCCTGGATATGTATTGCAATCAGTCCTAATTTCGGGCTTGGATACTATTTGGATTGGGTCATCTCTTGGGCCTAGATGTAGTTAAGTAATTTGATGCTAGTTTTATAGTCTGAACTACTATACAGGGAGACATTAAACATGAGGGATATGAGGAGCAAATTGTTTGACAGTTGCACGCAATGGATTGTGTCCATTGCTGAGGTAGTGTGCCCTAAGAAAGAGAACCTGTGGATCAGTTCACCTATTTGTGAGTCCTCTTTTTGCACTCATCCAAGGGCTATTCTTTTTGGCACACCACGTGTCCGGTGAACAATAATTTCTCATATTCTGGTCTAAGGGTATATAGGTAAAAAGACCCTTAAAATGAGTATGTATCCTATCAGAACACCCCACGCTGTGTGGGGCATTCTGATCCTATCATGGGAAAAGGAGAGTAGTATGGTCATTTCGGTGCCCTGTGTGGGGCATTTTGATCCTATCATGGGAAAGGGAGAGTAATATGGTCATTTCAGTGCCCTCTCAATAGTTCAGATTAAACCGCATAGTGCGGGGTTATGAGAGGAATCATGCTTCACATCCTCGAATTCCAAAAATATCTCCATTTCAATTCCTATCTGCACATCACAGTGATTGGAATCGTTCAGATTACCCCACATAGTGCATAGTTTCGATAGGAATCATGCTCCCCATTTCCAAATCCCAAACATATCTCCCTTTCAATTCCTATTAGAACCTCACACTTAAATGACCATACTACCCTCCCTTTACTTCCCATGATAGGCTCAGAACGTCCCAAATGGTGCGGGCCGTCCTAATAGGATACATACTCGGTTTCCAGGGTTTTTGTACCTATACACCCTTAGAGCTATCATTAGCGATTATGGGAAAGTATCTGGTGGACTGTGTCACCAGACGTGGTGTGATAGAAATAATAGCCTTACACGAGTGCAAAATGAGTGAACTCAGATATTAGTGTACTGTTCCAAGGACTCTCTTTCTCTTGGTACACCGCCTTAGCAATATGGCTCCCAATAGTTTGTCTTTATCATGCCTGGTTGGCTGAAACGTTATACACTGGGCATCACAAGAAGTTTGAGAGAAGTTTTACAAATCTCTAGCATCAGCTATTAGGAAAATCTCATGTGAAAGATCTGATTTACTTCGAGTAACTCTCCCCATGATTTTGCATACATGTGCTATTTTAAGAATAAATTAATTTTCTTATTTCGAGACATGATATTCTAGAATTGAACAAACTTCTTATTTTCTTTTTCATAATGCAATCTATTACACTGAAACAAGTACCAATCTCCACAAAGTCAATAGTATTTAATGATGATATCTCTGACTACATATGTATTTGTTTGGGTTAATTGCTGAACGAGAATATATTTGGTATTGCGGTTATTAATTTCTAAATGAGAAAATATTTGGTATTGTGGTGGTTGATTGCTAAATGATAATATATTTGATTTTGCGGGACTTTAAAAAAAAAATCTAAACTCCATATTATTACTTGTGTGTGCCATGTTATTTACAATTCCATGCAGTGATGTTCATGGGTTGATTGATGAGTTTATCAATATGGCCATTGTGCTGGAATGGCCTAAATCAGTGTTGTCGTGACTTACGCATTAGAGGCAGTTCCTATGTTCTAGGAAGGTTAGTCTTTTTAGAAAGCACTTCTTGCGGTCATCGTTTACTGCTGGTTTGTGGATACACATGCATCAAATCACAGCCTCCATTGATCTCCTCGCAATTATATGTATGGAGGTCCTTGGAGAAATAATGGCAAAACATCAATATGTAATGTTCTTGGAGGAATAGTGTTTAAACTCTAAAGATGTAAGGGAGTCCCAGTTGTGAATTCTTTATTTGAAGCGTTACTGGTGTAAATATATGTGTTTAGGCATCATTGATCTTGAGGCATGCGATCTTTAATGGCAGTAATCATGAGGGTGCAATGAAGTTGGTGACTTCCCTGGAATGCATCAATTCATTTAAAGTCCAACTTAGTTGACAACAAAAAGTAAAAAGATCCGCTTGGGTATTATTCTAGATCAAATTAATGTGTCAAGGTTTAGATGCCTACATCAACCTAGGTGAGGACTTGTACTGACATTTCGAAATGAGTAAAATGTGGAGTTACCTATTAAGCAGCTTCATGCAGTACCAGGAGGCTAATATTAACCATAACTTTTCTTGCCCTTAATCATTTTCCTTGTTGTTTCGCTTGAATATTTGTGCTTCTTTGTATTTTTTTTACTGAAAGATTTCATCTTTGTGTTATCTAGAATTTTTGCTGCTTTTTGATATTCAACTTAAATGCCTCCCAGGTGCAATTGTTACAGGTCTAGTATAAAGAGCTTCTATGCTTGGACTTCACGATCGTATACGTTGAATAATTATTGTTACTGATACGAGGAATTGCCTTTTGCAGGTATGTCCTGTCTGTGCAGCTCGTGTTGGGATGGACATGGTTAGTCACATAACCACACAGCACGGAAACTTCTTCAAGATATCCTTTCATCTTTACCAAAATGCATTTGTCTCTTTTCCCTTTTTCTATTTTATCAAATTTGGATGTTCAGAGTTACTACCAGTATGTCTTATGTTCTATTTGGATAATAACTTGCATCCCTTAATAAAATCTTACATGCAACGTAGAAGGAGATTTCGCAGAGGTTCATCAGGTTCACATTCTACACTTTCTCTATTGAGGAAGGAACTGCGTGAAGGAAATCTGCAATCTCTTTTTGGAGGTTCATCCTTACCCTCTAATGCAGCACCTGATCCTTTGCTGTCATCATTTATTACCAATTTACCTGTATCTGATCCATCAAGAGGAGGAGGATTGGAGACCTTGGATGATGGAAATGTGGTTAACGAGGCTTCAGAGGAAAAAGCAACAGAAAGGTTGGAACTAGGCCTTGTTGCAAATCTACTTATGTGCTTGTTTATTTATTACATAAATAATGATCATTTGCTGATACTCTTAGCTCAGAGTTCCATTAGACTTGTTAAAAATTGAAGTTCAATTATTAGTAGGTTAGAAGTACCAGTTGTTCTTTTATCAGGAGTTGCTGCTTTAGACCAGCATATGATATATGCCTATTCATCAGAAATATTAAATTACTAGGATACATATGGCCTTATGATGTTAAGTAAGGTTTCTCATAGTGCAGTATAAAGACATTCTGAAATTCAACTGAATAAGTTATCCACGATAGGTCGTCTTCTTTATCTTGGTTCTTCTTTACTATCCACTTATACTCATCTCAACTACATTCTTGCTGCGTCTTCCCTTTTAACTGATAGATTTTCAAGTTTCAAGGTCGTACTAAATACTTATGATTTGAAATTAGCAATTAAACAAGCCAACCAAATCATGTATAGTTTGTTTCTCCCTCTTCATTTGCCCCATTTACAATTGCATGACATCGGGTCTCAGTTGTGCTAAACTATCTTAACATCTTGATTGTCTATTTAAAAAAAGAGTTTAGGGACGAGTTATATTTTTAATGGTGAGCAGAGAAAGAAATTCAAGCATGACAATAAGTGTGTGTACAGACTAAAAAAGGCGTCTTTAGTTGAATATTCTCTTTTGTTTAAAGGCTAGACCCAGTTTGAAACTTGACCTGTAATGTAATTAAAATTTCTTTTGCAATGGGTTTGAACTTTGGGTCGAGTCATATTATCATGATATTGTAAGCTATAAATCATACATAAGAGGATATTTAACGTAATAAATATTAAATACATGCAAAAGATATATATCATGTCTTCTACTTTTCGTAGATATGAATAGCACATCTTAAAGATGTAAAACTATGAATACAACTATTACATTCCAATATTTGAAAACTAATTGCATTTGTATCTTTCTCTATCAGTCTTCCTTTGGTTCCTGTTAGCTTGGTATCAAACATTTCTCGGTGGTACGCTCAACATGGAGATAAATGATAAATCTATGATCTTATTAAATGATTGACAGAGTTTTTTGATAATAGGAAAATACTAAGCAAATTCCACCATGTTATGAGTTATTAAATGATTGACGGAAAGAAAGTTTTTTGATAATAGGAGAATACTAAGCAAGTTCTACCATGTTACGAGTTACTAAATTAACAAACTTCAGATCATTGTCCATCTTGACTATGTTGAAGGTTTTTTGGTTATTTCTGTTCTCTGTTCAGTTTCCACCAGATGCTCGAGAAACTGTTCTTCTGACCATTTTGGTCATTAAGGGTGTTATGGAGCAAGTAGCCACTCTTGAAGGTAAATAGAAGTGTAGTGTTTTTGTTTTGTTTTCTATTTGTATGATTTTTGCAGAATCCTAACAAAACAAGCACAATGCTCTCCATATTAAAAGAAAGTCTATGTTATATTGGAAATGTTAGTGAGACTTTCTTCATCACTCTGTTTACTTTCTAATACGCCAGACTCTAGGTCATAATGACCCAACTGGACCTCGTTCTGTTCTCCTTCGTCTCTCAGTTTTAGATGCTCACGATTTTCTTCCAGTCTTCTAACTGTTTAATTGGTGAGGGTGTTATGTAGGCAACTCTTTGAAGGTCAATAGGCTCTGTGATTAATTATTTCATTTCGATTTTACCATCTGGGACCGAGTTTCCAAATCAGATAAAAAAAACACGTGATCGTTAAAGCTGGTGAACTTACCAATTTGGTGGAAAGCCGGACCAATTTATGGATTCCTTAAGCAAATTCATATTCTTCTCTAAATTTACAAATATAGGTCTTTCTTTCCTTAAGATAGGGTTAGTATCACATATTAGCTTTTCTCCTAAAGCACATACCTAAACTTCTAATGGCTCATGTCAAATAGTGCTTCATGTGGTCAGTTGGTTTTATTGGTTGGTCTGAGAACTGAATTTGCTTCACAATTCTCCTCTCCATGGGTTCCATTAGAACTAACTAGAACATCGCCTGTCCTGCTTTAATTATACTAGAACATCAAGTTCCTTATGAAATTTTAGGCAAAACTTCATGACATCCGTTTTACTCGGAATATCTTGATAGGTTGGATACCGATCATGTTATACTTCTTTGGGTTCACAAAGAAGGAAACAAAGCATTAGTTAAAGAAAACTTGATTTTAGCAAACTACTATTAAAATTTCCCTTAATATTTATATAATGTGGTGTTTGGGAAGTGTTGAAGATAGTAATCAGAGAGGATACTTAGTTCCCTCTCTTGGATGTTATTTCTAATATCATAAATACAAAGAGACTTGTTCCTAACCAATGTGGGACTAAACATACATAAAGAATTAGCTCTCAACACTCCCCCTCAAGCTGAGCGTATATATTACATACTTTAATGTGACGGGGCTTCAAAAACTCAAAGTAGTCTTGATCTTCTTATCTTTCACTTGGATGTCTTCAAATCAGCTGACCTCCTCTAGGGCTCCACCAAACAAACGATCCTCTTCAGGGATTTATGAACAAGCGATCATCTTTAGGGAGCCATCAACAATCATGCCCGGGGACTAAAGTGACTTGTTGAAAATAGTAATCAGAGAGAATATATAGTTCCCTCTCTTAGATGTTATTTACAATATCATAAATATGAAGAGACTTGTCCCTAACCAATATGGGACTAGATATGCATAAAGAAACAACTCTCAACAGGAAGCAACATAGAAACATCAATCAAAGTTGATCTACCTTTCAATAGAAGCTGTACACATGTAGCCTTTTGCTTTTCTAACTGACACACATATCCTACCTCCATATATGATTTTCTGTGGAGATCCCGCTGTAGGATTTTTTTTTTCTTCACCCTAGTTAGAGGTTCATATGGGTTGAGATCATTTTGGCTGCGATTTTGCTTTGAGTTTATAAAGTGGCCTCGAGTGCTAAATTTCAATTCGCTAGCGAATATTAGGATGACAAAAAGCTCTTTTCAGCTAAATTTATCATCATATATTTTCTTGACATACTCATTTCGATACATTTTTGTCTGCTCAGCATCCAACCCGTGCTATCTGACAAGGAGCAGGAGGAGAGAGCCCAGAAGAGCGAGTTCTTGCAGGGGCTCGTGCTTTCTACAATATTCGACGTCTTATAGATCATGATCATATATATTGGCAGCAGCAGTAATACCAGTAGCAGAGCCAAGAATCAAGTGAGAACCTGAAGAGTTGGTTGATAGAAGCCTGCAATTGCTTCTAAGCTCATGGGCGGTTCTTTCTGGGAAGGGGTACTCATGAAAAGGTATATATATGTAGACTTTATGTGAATCATCCTGAGAGAGGATAATACGTTAGGAATGTAAAATAATTTATGTAATAATGCTACTTTCTACCTGCTGGATATAAATGTAGTCTAATAATATTTTCCTAGTTGTGGGTGTTTGTGTTCATAGTAAAAGCTGTGAATTGTCTTGCTTATATATCATTTCCAGCATATTAGGGGCTGTTTGGTTCATTTCAGATAAAAATTATGGAAGTGGATTCCCTCACAAAAAACCAAATTCAAAATTTTTTAGGATGTCTAAGGAATTCAAAACTTGTGTTTGATTTGGAATGATAAGGCAAAGAATATGAAAGCGTATTCAAAACTCATGTTTGTTGGGGTCAAATGTAGTATGAGATATTTTGTCTAGAGATAATTTTACGGAACTCTCTCGTTACAAATATTGACAAGAAATAAATCAATTTATTTTGTGCAAGTATTAAGCATTCATAATATTTCAACTAGGACATTCATAGTAACAGATACTCTGTTGAGATAAACTTGATGTTGGATAGTGGATTCCTAATCTATTTTGGTAACATGAGGTTATTAGGATTCCTAATCTATTTTGGTAACATGAGGTTATTAGGATTCCTAATCTATTTTGGTAATAGGTTATTAGAATTCCTAAGTAACATGAGGTTATTAGGATTCCTAATCTATTTTGGTAATAGGTTATTAGAATTCCTAATTTGATTTGGCTTTTGGTTTAGAATTCCTAGCATGTTTATGATTTTAGGATTTCTATATATATGGAACAATTGGAAGAGAGAATTTGGAGAAGAAAAATTGGGGATATTTGGAGCACAGAAAATAGGTATTTTCCGAGCTATTTGTTTAGGGTTTTGTTTGGAGAGATTAAGAGCTTGTTGGTGAGATTAGTTTGTTCATTCGAGTGATTTGTAATCTTAATTTTATACTCTTTCTCTATTAGTGGAAACCCCATCCCCTTTCTTGCCCCGTGGAAGTAAGTAATTTGCCGAACCACGTAAAATTATTGTGTTTGGATTTGTGCCGTTGTTTTGATTTGTTTGGCCTTTATCTCGACGTTTGTTTGATTTGGTTCTTGAAGCACGCCCGTTTGGTTGTCCCGCTTCCGCGCTGTGCACAACAATTGGTATCAGAGCTCGGGCTACGCTTGGGCTATTTGGAGGAGTAGATCAATTTGGAAGTTCGACTAGGGCTTCGTTTGGTGATAAATGTGGGATCTTTTGGTAAAGACTCTATCTTTTTCAGTTTGGATCTATTCTTTGTTTGTTCCGCATTGGTTTGTTGGCGCTTGGGCTATTTGGAGGAGTAGATCGCTTTGGAGGCTCGTCGAGGGCTTCGTTTGGAGATAAATGTGAGATTTTTCCTATTTGTGGATCTCATTGCCGTCGTGCGGGGTGGGATCGTTTGGAGACTCTTGTTAGGGTTTTAATTGGAGGTAAAATTCTCTCCTTTATCGGTTTGGATCTATTCTTTGTTTGTTGGTGCTTTAAGATAGTTGGTCGAGATAGAATGATTTGAGGCTGGGTTATTTGTTTGTTGATACAATGCATTGGATTATTGAGAAGTGCCATTGACCTGCATATTTAAGTCATTTTGAGCACGTTGGTATGAGCAAGGAGACCGAGGTGGAGTTTGGCACTTCTATTTGATGATTCAGGGGTATTTTATTTGGTGTTCATTCAGGTATTCGGGGGCCTTCCAAGGAGACATCATTGGAAGGTAAATTGGTATTTTGGTTTTCTACGTTGGGGATTGTACTAGGCATTTATGGGTTGCAACCAAATCCCGTTGGTATGAAGCCCTAGTAGTCCGTAACAATTGGAGGAGGTGTATGGGCAGAAAGATTACCCGTCGTATTAGTTCTAGTAGGGGTCCTTTCTTGCATTGGTGCCGAGCTCATGGCAGTTGGAGACACTTCAGAGGAGAGAAGACAGTGGGGCGACGTGATGAGATGGCGGATTTATTGGGTCGTTCTTTTCTGGAGGAGGATCGGTATTGGTTGTCGAGCAGTGGATTTGGTATTCGGGCTTCGACACGTTTGGACTATCTTATGAGGTTACCGACTGCTGCGTGTAGAGTTGTTAGATCTGGTGGAGCTGCTTCAGATTTTGGTCGGCGTCGGATATTTGGCTACCCAGCACTTGGTCACATCGTTGATGTGAGATTGGATCCGATTGCGCATTTGGGATTCAGGAGTTCACTCGGCTATCAGTTGGGAGCTTCTGAGTTTGGTCTGAGCAGGTATGTCACTTTGGACTCTCGGCAGGTAGAGAGTATTGATCAGATCAGAGGGATACCGCAGCGGGTGGAGGGTGATGCTACTCCACATTGGGTGGAACTTACTCCACATACTCCAGGTCATTTTGCATTATTGGGACTTCCAACTGAGGTGGCACAGCGTGGGAGTCATTTGGATACGGATGCGGATGGCGAGTTGGTAGCTCCGAGTGCAGCTGGTGGATATAGCTTGGATACGGCCATTGTTTCACCTCAGGTGGAGGTGTTTGGATCGCTTCAGTATCGGGCCGTTGGTGATGCTATCAGCCGCAGGTTGGATTGATGGCATTTGGAGGCTATTGGGTGAACTACGTGAAGGCTTGATTCCTTGGGCAAGAAGATACGTAGGTAGTCAGTTTTGATGCAGCCGATTTGGTGAGTAGATACCGACATTTGGGTGAGTGTTCGCGATACCGACATTTGGGTGAGTGTTCGCACTCCCGTTTGGGTCTCGACTTGTTGTGGATTGAGTCCGTTGTTGTGGGTCGTTTTACTTCGTACTGGATGCAACAAGTGAGGCATTTGGTTTAGTCGGTGTCGGCTCAGTTTTGGAAAAACTTCGCCGAGGTGGAGAATTGTTGGATAGTGGATTCCTAATCTATTTTGGTAACATGAGGTTATTAGGATTTCTAATCTATTTTGGTAACATGAGGTTAATTCCTAATTTGATTTGGTTTTGGTTTAGAATTCCTAGTATGTTTATGATTTTAGGATTTCTATATATATGGAATAATTGGAAGAAATAATTTGGAGGAGAAGAAAAATTGGGGATATTTGGAGCACAGAAAAGAGGTATTTTCTGAGCTATTTGTTTAGGGTTTTGTTTGGAGAGATTAAGAGCTTGTTGGTGAGATTAGTTTGTTCCTTCGAGTGATTTGTAATCTTAACTTTGTACTCTTTCTCTATTAGTGAAAACTCCATCCCCTTTCTTGCCCCGTGGACGTAGGCAATTTGCCGAGCCACGTAAAACTATTGTGTTTGGATTTGTGCCGTTGTTTTGATTTGTTTGACCTTTATCTCGACGTTTGTTTGATTTGGTTCTCGAAGCACGCCCGTTTGGTTGTCCCGCTTCCGCGCTGCGCACAACGCTTGACCCTACTCTTACATCGTATATATTCTTTAGTTTTCTTTGATTTATATTTATCGATAGCCTCTTTCATGACACATTATAAAATTCTTTGGTTCGTTCTTATCAAATTTTTTCTTCGTAATTATCAATAATTTCTTTCATGACATCTCCTATTATATTACGAGGAACATCTATACATCAAATAGCCTCTTATAAGGCAGAAAAACATATACTACTACAAACATAAGTTTTATCTCCGAGTTATGCAAATCTGAAACTGCAAAAAAAAAAAAAAAAAGTGAAGGAAAAAATTTGTGGTTACTGTATGTATTTTGTACTGCTAGAGCAACTATTTGTCTGATCACACTCTTTTCATTCTCTTTTCTTGCCATTAGTCAATTTCAAATACAATCCTTGGTTTCTTGAGTAAACAAAACGGTTTCTGTACAAATTCGATACTACTGCGCCAAGTTTTTTTTTTTTTTCAAAAAATACATATCTTGGATTTTTTCGAAGGGGATATAAAATTTTTTCTTTGTCTTTGCAGTAAAATCTATGTCATACATAATCCTTGTGATGATCTTCATCTTATGCATTAAATCTTTTATGTGTTTGCGCAGAAAGTTCGTTAACAATTTGAAACATATATAGTATTTTTACTCAAACTTGGATATAAGTTGATGGCCAACGTTTCGCGCTGGAACATGGACAAAACGATCATCATCGCCGTCGACAGGTTTTCGGGCAGAGAGAAGAAAAACCTCTCCTTCCTCCAAATTTCCCTCAAACAACTCTCTCCAGAACTCGCCGCCGTCTTCATTTAGGTTCGACTCCCTCAGGATCCCTAAAACCTTGTCCAACGTAGCGACATTTCGACCAGCTCCCATACTGGCTGCGGTCGCAGCGCCCACGGCGTTTGCAAGGGTCAGCGTGCAGATTCCTGACATGTTGTGTAGATAACCGAGAGCTATAGCTGCAGTATAACTGTCTCCACAACCAACGGTATCGACGACGTCTACGTTGAATGAAGGTGCACATGAAATACTCGACTTTGTTACCAGAACAGATCCCTTAGAGCCCATTTTGATTATCGCCCTCCTTTCTTGATTAGCTCGTATCCTGCAGCAACAGCGTTCTTGATCCCCGTTAGTGACTCAGCCTGGTAAAAAATCCAATGCATCAGTATCAAGAAACAACAAGCTTAGTAAAATTTTAGATCAATTGCGCAGAGGCCCCTGTAGCATCTACATGCAATTTACCCTAGAATTTATACAGGTCCCTATTCAGTTAAAGAGCGAAGAACCTCGTCCGAAGTTAAAAGGAGAACGTCAGTGAGCCTCAGAAGCATGTCCAGTGCATTTTTCTGTGCAGGTGTGCCAGTAGCGAGATCCTTCCCCGCCGGACCAGGATCAAAAAAGATCGTTGTTCCAGCATCGATGGCGCGATTAAGCGCAGACACGACCAAATCAGGGGAAATTTCGTCGAACACATAACCATCACAGAAAAGGATCTTGGACTGTTGAATCTCTGCGACAGCTTGTTTCGGCAAGTTAGTCATGCGACCGAGTACAGGCCCCTCGCTGAAACCGGTATTGCTGACAGAAGAAAGTGTTGGTTTTTTGAAGTGATGAAAAGATCGAGCTTCGGGTACGTGTGGTACTCAAAAGCTTACGTACGTATACGTTTACCTGAAAAATTCATGATTTTGATGCGGATCGACAAAAACCCAGCAAAGAAGAGTTGATCCATACGACGCGCCTCGGTTAGTTTCTTCAGAATCTTCTTCTATT